TGACCGTCACATTATAACGCTCCCACGGCTGAAAGGGCGAGCATGTGTGGTGTGACAGGGAAACACACATGTATAAACAGACAAGTAAATTTCAAGGTCCGAATCTTTTTTATAAACAAATGATGGTACATTAAGATGTGTTGTTCTTTTACGCCTATTTAAATAAATCTTTTTTAGAAATGCATAGTATTAAGAAATTATTCACAACCCTCGTATTCGTTCAACGCGTTAGATCAATGCACTATGGCCTTGTAGATTGAAGCCAACAAGGCCATGACCTTTCTCTTCTTCGCGCTCAAGTCTTTAAATAATAGTTTAATAGCAAAAATTGTTAGTTTGTTTGTTATTGTTGTGTTTTTTTTTGTTGTTTTTTTTTGGAGGGGACATACTATATGTTTGTGTATGAAGAATATAGACCAATGTTCCCCCCCAAAAATAAGTTACTTCGTTATGCTTTATAAATCGTTGTGTATGTCTACGGACTTACAACGCTAGAAGCCGGGTTTCGATACCGGTAGTGGGCAGAGCACAGATAGCCCCTTGTATAGCTTTGTGCTTCATTCCAAATAAACAATAAATCGATGTTTGTCAGTTTACTATTATATTAACATGATGTGTTTCCATACATAAATGTTTTATTTGTTGTAAAAGCGAGCATCGTATTTACATTTAATTATTCATTATGAAATGCAAAACTACCTGTTACAGCTGTTCTGTATTATGTTTACATTTTCTTTCCATAATAGATTCCGTCTATATCAGTTTAAACAGATCGAGAATCAGAAAGTAGGGAAGACGTCCAAAAAGTATGCCATCCAAACAGAATTTGGTGTTTATCCGAGCTTCTCAAGTGTTTATATTAATCATTGTTGCATTTTGTGTGATAACCACTTACTACATCCAGCTGAGAACTAGTTTCTCGATTAACAATTCAAAAGCTAAAATTAGTGTTATTCACGATGAAGAAGGTGCTGTTACAATCAGGGAAGAAGGATTTATAGAAGTTAATGCAAACACATTTGTCTACTCGGCTTACTGGGATGACAGACTTGGCCCTAACAACAGTTTTGTACGAGTGATCGGTACCGCCCCACGAAATTCCCAGGATTTGATATCTATTGTCTGTCTCGTTTATGTGAAGAGTAGTTCAAATAACGGCACAGAAGTTCGGACAACTTACATAACTATAACAGATAATCATGGTAGACAAAACGCTGGGACGTTCTTTTTATGTCATTGGCCTGCAGACCAGCCGCCTCCCAAACAAGTAGCACTTCGTGATAGCCGAACTCTACAAGAATCGACAAGGCTTACTGTTCGTGTTCGAAACCACATAAATCTAACGAAAATTAAAGACAAACTTGGACTGTGTGTCCGTCCTTTTTTTGGGTATGTTAAATCTCTTTCTGAACTACAAGAATTTATAGCCGTATATTACATGTTAGGTGTTAGTCAATTCACATTTTATAAATATGAATTAGATGACCGTATAGAAAAGATGTTGTATGCTTTGCAAAAGAAAGGAATTTCCATTGAACTTCTTCCATGGAATTTGCCTACAAGATTGTTTCGTACAACTTGGGCTGGAGGTCAATATGTCAGCATAGAGGATTGCATTTACAGAAATATGTACGACGTCAACTACGTGGCTGTTGTGGACGTTGACGAGTTTATCTTTCCACGTAACCATTCAACCCTTCAAGCTATGATTTCTTCGATAGCAAATGAAAACTGGGGTAGTCTTATTTTTCGAAATGCCTTTTTTTGCACATCTAAACCTTCTGACCAACAGACGTTAAACTCTACGTTGCCATTTCGAACAATGACATACTTACAACACCAAAAAAATATTTGGCCAGCGAAAAAGAGATCTAAAGTTATAGTTCAACCTACTAAGACAATAATCTGCGGTATACATTATGTCTTTGAACATTTTAACAATTCAAAGGAAATTGTAATATCGCCTTCTGTTGCCATTTTACACCATTATCGTCATAGTGTTTTTTGTAGAGGAACGTTGGTTACAGACAAGACAGCCTTGAGGTTTAAAATAGATTTATTAAAATGTGCTAAACGTCTTTTCCAATAAAAATAATAACAATAACACTATCTCGTGTTTGTTAACAGATAAATATTAAGTTTACATTTAATAAATGCAGTGCGTCGTTTTTATTTCACTTTCCAAAACTATGGAAAAATTGGGAGTTTTATGAACAAGGATAAGATAACATTTACATTGCTGTTTTAAACGTATATTCTTAACACTGAATACATTTATTTCGTTATTTAATACCACAACAACAACACAACTGCACAGAGATGTATAACATAGAACACATAATAAAATGTACAAAATCTGTTTCGCTTATTGTTTCCGTTCATACTAGTGTTTCGAATTTGTATTTCAAATAGTCTAAAATTGCGTTAACTACTAATTTAATTTAGTAGTAAAATTGTACTTTGGATTTAGTATTTAGATAAATGTCGATGTATAGTCAGTTTGTAATATTTGCCAACAAGATTGATACACAGTTTTCTTTTTCACAAATACGTTTTAATATACACATAACAGTACAATTTACAATAACAAGTATTACAAACAATGATTTATAAACAAAAGTTTCACAAACTACAAGCAATATAAAGTCTTCTTTCTAATTTGGAACTTCCTTGATATCCTATCGAGGGTTCACGATGAGCGAGCTGATTACGAATTGACAGAGGTACAATTCACTTAGCAGGGAGCTAGCTAGCCCTGTAGTTCGCGCTAGTCATACGCCGACTACAGGTCGAGTTTCGCCGATGAAGTTATATAATGTTTTTTGTAAAAATACTAATGTCCGATGGGAATCCACTGAAGTTAAACGATTTGTAATGTTCGAACTTCGTAAAGGTTCCTGGTCAAATATCTAAAGTTATAGCTTCCGAAGTTTATAGCACACTGACTATAGCGAACTAATAATAGATACTCTCTTTGGCGCGTCGCGTTGGTTATATTTATAGCCGTGGAAGGTTTTCTAGAAAATTCAGATTACGTACCAATACAATTTAAGTGTTTATGTACACACATATATTGTTGATTCTTACTCTCGAGAATCTTCTACAACTTTAGAGAATAGGCGGGAGTTTTGCAATACATATTTAACACTATAAGCCATGTATTTTTCTAAATATAAATTTAATCTAAACAAACGTTGATATTCAAATACATATATAATAACAAATTCGTTACACTAGAAATGGTTAGAGCGTTTAAAAGCCACACGATGTGCTATTTGTGCTGTACCCATCATGAGTGTCGAAATCCGATCTTTAGACTATGTAAGCCCTTACATTTACCGCCGAGCCACTAGGAGGCAAAAATAAACAGAGAAACATAGTTAAAACTATGGATGATAATTAAATAAATACATTTTATTCAACAAAGAAATAAAATGTATGGAAATAAAAAAATACCAACCTATAATGCATTGGTTGAGGTTTAAAAATATAGGAATTATCTAAATGGGCTTATAAAACAAACCAAAATAAATTATTATAAGCAAAAAATAATTCATAGCAAAATTCGTATTAAAAAAAAAGTGGGACATAATATATAAGATAACAGGGAAACACTCACAATACATTGACAAATTTGAAAGAATTGTAGTAAATAATAGGTATATTAAGTTAAGTTTACTGAACAACTCAAATTATATGTATAATTATTTAATGAATCTGATATAAATATTACAAATGAATTTAAAAGCAAAAACATGTTGTAACTGTTTTAATACAGATCAATTAGATGAAACCTCGTATAAAACTAACATATCTGTAAAATCACTTCATTGTATCTAATACCAACTGATGAGCGTGAAATTAAAAATAACTAGACCACTGTGACCCATTGGGTCAACCACTCTTCAGAGGTTATGAAGAATTCAAGCTAATTTCAATCTTGCACTGAAATGAAGGTTTATTTTGAGATAATTTAATTAAATATTTCAATCCATTCGTATTATTCATAATTCAAGATATTTGATTGTTGATCGGGAGTAAAAGTAAAGACCATTTCATTTTTAAAAAAAAAATGAAGTAAGAAGTTTCGTAAAGAGCACGAACGGTAGTGTGAATGATTTTTTGGTTGATAAAATAAGCAAACAAACAAAACATCTCAGAGTTTTAGTAGTATATAGATAGATTCTTCAAGATCTTTTTGTTTTTGTCATCTTACGCCTTTTAATGAAGATGGAAATATTGACAGGGAAATAATATAATAGCCAATGCTCGGCGAGAGGTTTTCGTTTATAAAATTTTGTTGTTGTTTTCGATTTTATTTTTCTTTTATTACCTCGTCTCCATAGTTACTTATTTGCAAATAGTCAATAATATTGTAGGTCCATTTTATTGTTTTTCTTTCTACGAGCCGTTATAACACATTTTCATCTCATCATTTAATTTTCGTTGTGCATATATTGTTGTATAGAAGGTATTTTAAAGTGACTCATCACATGGAAAACGAAGTTTTATAATAATGGAGTGTACGAAAAGTGACCCGAAAAACGGGGCTAACTCGGTAACCCGTGGCCCGATTTTAACGAAACTTGTTTTATTCTGTTTCTATTCTCATTTCATTACAAATATGGCGGTATTGTGCGCCGTTTTTGCTGTATTTAATTACAGACAATCAAACGCACAAACAATCTCAAAGTTTTAGTAGTATATAGATAATAATAAAATCTCTAAAAAAATTAAAAAGCAACAGAAAAAAAAGATAAAATTTTGCCGTAATTATTAAAAATAATACTAAAAACTGAAGCCAGTAATGACATATTTAATTATTTTGTCAATGGAAGAAAATTGAGTTTTTCCAGAAATTAAAAAAAATGCTGTTATTATGCCAACACTTAAAGGGGAAATAAAAAAAAAAACGTTGAATAATTTTTGACCGATTGTTTTATTATCAGTCATATCAAAGATTCTTGAGAATATTTTTAAAGAAAGAATAATCAAATGCCTAGATTCAAAAAGTTTTTTCTCAAATCGTCAATTTGAATATAAACATGGAGATGCACTAATTATTGTGATTATAGATTAAATAAATTAATGAGAATATGCTATTTTTCTAAATATATCAAAAGCTTTTGACACAATTTCACAATAGCTTTTACTAAGAGAACTTTTATAACACCAGATAAGAAGTATTGTTTTAAGTTGGACTAAATCACATACCCGTGTTGGGCAGAGCATAGGTAGCCCATTGTGATAGCTTTGTGCTTAAACTAGAAAGTAAATAAAAAAAACAAATTACACAGAAAACACGTAGTTAAAATAAATAATGCCAGAAGTGATGAAATGATCTTAACTACTGGAGTACCCCAAGGATCGGTTTTGGATCCATTACTGTGTCTATTATATTAACATGATTTCTGCACATTATTCTCTATTAATCTATAATGGAAATTCTAATAATGAGGCCATCAAAAATACATAAGCGATTATTTAAACTGCATAAGGAGTTGGTTTAATAATAATTTATTATATTTAAATGAAAAGAAAATAGTATGTATAATATTTTCTACAAAAGAATGAAATCAAATAATTTCAAGTGAACTGTATTTGTAAATATTTATTTACCAAGAATAATATAGATATTAATGCAATTCAACAAAAAAGTATTAAATTTCTTGAAGTAATATTAGATTATATATTAATTGGAAAGAACATACTAAATTAATAGAGAAAATAAAAATATCAGAATTAAGATTTTATTATTTAAGTTATTTATCTGAGAATGAAGTGAAAACATTTATTATGCTTGGTTTGATTCAATTTTACAATATGGTATCACCTACTTGGGACCACCTATTTTACAAACTTAAAAGGTTTAATTCAGTTACAAAAGACATTATCAGATGTGCATAATCATTATCACAGTATGATCATACTAAATGACATTTTCAAAATTTAAATATACTACCGCGGCATAACTTATCTATCTAAATAATAAGTAGTTTCTGTCACGCTGTCATCAGTGCCTTTTGTGACGAGCTCGAAAACAAATAGAAATAGTTAACCGGTCGGAGGTAGCAAGGAGAATATTCATCAAAATTTAAGATAAATTTTAATTTTGAAATCTATTTAAAACTATCAACAATGGAAACCTTATTATTATTAGTTAAATCAAGAAATCCATCCGTCACTGAAACTGACCTGTTATTATTACGTTATGAATTATAGTGTACGATTCCTTCTTTCTATAATTTTCGTTAAACATTCAACAATGTAATCAATAAGTTAGTTTAGAATTCATTTGCTTTGTAGTTCTTAAATTACAAAATAGTTTTTACTATTATAAAAACATTATATTATATGTCTGTTTGAAATAGATCCTTCAAATAAGTTAAATTAAATTTTAAACGCATGCTTAAAAACAACTGATTATATCAACGAATATATCATTAATTGTAACATGTATATCAAATTAACAGTTCTTCATTTCTACGCATACATAACATGAAAACCATATATCCCTATGAAAGTCGAAAAGGTATGTTTAAAAAGTTTTAAGTTGTGAATAAATGTTAATTAATAAATATTCAAATGTAAGAAACACGAAAAGAAAGAAGACGGCGTTTAAACAACTTTACGTTGCCTTTTCTAGATGCATATCCAAAGAAAAAATGAAGGTAAAAATTATTGATTCACAGTTCCAAGAGAAATTGAAAAATACTGATGATATTTTCACTGTCGATGTTGTGTATAAAGAAATATTATGAAACAAAAATCTGATTATTATTGTGAATACAATTATTGTTAATTAATTTATGGAAATCTTTACAGAGTTTTCTTAACACCCGTCATTTTTGACGGGCTATACATTAGTATGTTTATAAAACATTAAATAGATTCAGTAAAGATATTCAAAGCTGGCGAAAATAAAATCAATATATCAAATAAGAGCAGAAGAACATAGAAATTTAAAACTTCTAAAGTAAATTAAGAAATATTGTGAGAAAGATATTTATATCAAGCACCAAATGAGATTGATGTTTAGTAATAGAAATAGAAATATTTAGCCAGTATTAAAGAAACGGATAAATCATA